TGCAGAGGAGAGGAGGCGGGGAAGAGAGGCCGGTCCTCACCCCAACGGCGTGCAGCGTCCCCTGGCGGCTCTGCCAAGCGGCCGGTCGGGACGGGGCGGGGCCTTTCCTGGGGGCGGGGCCTGCCTGGCCCGCCGGCCTCCGCTTGGTTGACTCCAGCTGCTGGCGAGCAAGGTCTCCCAGCTGCTTCCGCCTCTTCCGTCCTTCGCGCTGAAAGTGACTTTTTTTTTTTTCCTAAAAGAAAGCCTTGAGTCCTCGCCTTTAGGTCGTTCCTCGCTTAGCGGAAACGCGGCCTAAGTTTGCCTTAAAAAACAGGCAGTTTGGCTGCTGGGGAAGGAAACACAGCATCCCAACATCCGGATTTGCCTGGTCTGGGGCGGCGTCTCTCTAAATTTCATGTCTCATCTTCCCCATCGCTGTCCACAGCTTTTCCAGCTTTTAAAAATCAGTTTGTATCTTTGTCTTAACCTTAGTTGTTTTTTTTTTTGATAAAGGAGAATGAATTTTAAATCAAAACGGTCGAAAATAGGGTACGTCGTTACTTGACAACAGAAAAGGATTCAGATCAAAAGCTCGGGTCCCTTTGCATCAAGGTGACATTAACTCAGACCTTTCAGTTAGTTATTTTGAAAATAATTGTACGAGATTTTGAACCATTTTAAAGTTTAATTTTACTAGAAACAAAGAGTGGCATCTAATACAGGAATTTGTCCCTGTTGCATCTCATGGAAGCACGGTAAGAGAATACATATATATATAGAATTGCTTAGAGTTCTATTTAGTTTTTCCTAGAGTTCAATACAATTCAATTGATGGTGCATGAGAAGATATAAAAATTGTAAAATGGTAGACATTTAGAAAATGTTTTAATATTAGAACTAGAAAATGTGTAATTAATACACCGTACCCTAGAATTCTCATGCATTAAGATACAGCTGAAGTAGGTACGTCACTCAGAAATGAAAGTGACATTTAAGAAAACTATTAAATACTTACACTAGTGCTGTACAGAGTTTTCAAAAATCATAAAGGTGACATTTGTGGGAAGCCTTGCCTTTGCTCTCAGTCTGCCCACCTCATCTGCTCCATGAAGAACAGCCTTTCTTCACCTGGCTAACTCTTAACCATCCTTTAAATAGCTCAAGTGAGCCTGTCAGACAGGAAGGGGACAGGGCACCGACATTCAAGGAATGACACAACAATTAACACCAAGATGGCAGAAAATTCAACTCCCAGTAGACCTTGAGAGCCAAGATGGAGATTTGGCTTCCAGTAGACATCGAACTTCATTATACGCTCACTGTAATAGATTAACATGGTAGTCTTCCCACAGATGCCATGACAGTTCTGAGGCTGACCATAAAAGGTCAAAAAGTGGGCAGTGGCCCAATTCCTGGGAATCCCAGCCCCCTCCCCAAAGTATTTGGAATAATCCTCCCACTTGTTAGCATATGGGGTTATCAAGCATGTAAAAACTAGCAACACCACCCCTTGGGGGAACACTTTTTCTGAGACGGACTACCGTCTGTCTATGGAGTGTATATCTACATTCACTTTAAACTGAGCACCCAATTCCCACAGCTTATGGCCTTTCTAAACTCACCTTCTGAGACAGCCTGCATTCTGTCTATGGAGTATGTATCTCTCTGAATAAATCTACCTTTACTCAACTGTGGCTCACTCTTGAATTCTTTCCTGTGTGAAGCTAAGGACCCACACTTGACGGGATGTGCCCCAGAGACTTAACCGAGACCTGGGACATGGCCATCCTCTCGCCCCACATTCTTTTTCCTGTGTCACCTCCTGGAATCTTTTTCTCTCTGCCTCTTCACCCCCACCCCACAAGCAGATAGGATCTCTGTACTTTTATCACAGCACCCCAGATCCATTTTGTAATTATTTACTTGGACAGCTTCCCTATAATGTCAGACTCCTTTCTGTGTCAGAGACTAAACCAACCAGTTTTGTATCACCAAAGCCTAGCACAGTGCCTGACATGTGATAAACACTCAGTAAACGTGTATTAAATAAATACACCAGGTATCCAAGAGCACCATCTTGTCCTTGACTTAGGAATATCGTGATACAATTTTCAGGTGAAAAACCAAAGGATATTTTGCTTTTAAAAATCTTTATTTGCATCGAGTAGTTCTTTCCCATTTACTATTTTCACCAGTATGATTCTGGAATCATCTGATATACCATGCAGATGTCTTGAGACACTCCAAATTTTGCAAGATTACAGGGCAGGCAGATGTGGTGTATAAGTTAAGTATGAAAGCAAATAAATATTTGTAGCATCTGAGAAATACTCATGAATTTGGTTCTTGTATCCACCATCTAGCATTTGTTACACTACCCAAATGGCATTTGTTTATTGCACACATTTGTGTTTTACAAAATCCTTAAGCATACAACAATTCCACTTTTTAAAATTTGAGTATCTGCTGCCTGCAGAATGTGTGAGGATGATCTGGAAAGCCCACACACACCCTTAAGCAGTTTATACTCCAGCCATTGCTGCCCTTCCATCTGGGCACCTGGCCCTTGCCCTAGACCTTGCTCTGTAGAGGCCATGTTGGCCCCACCCCAGCCACATCCCGCCCCATAGCCAAGGGGTCTGCAGGGTCAAAGGGACATACCCATCTATTACCCACAACCTTCCTTCTAGATCAGGAACCTAGGAACCCAGTATCCCCTGCCTATCTTAGATTGAGTACCCAGAAAAACAAAGCCTGAGACAAAGATGTGCTGGTATAGTCACCCCTCTTTTTCTTATGCTTCACTTATTGCCCTTAGCAGATACTGTGTTGTTTACAAATTGAAGGTTTGTGGCAACCCCGCACCCAGCAAGGCTATCAATGCCATTTTTCCAACAGCATTGGCTCACTTTGTGTCTCTGTGTCACATTTTGGGAATTCCTGCAGTATTTCAGACTTTTTCATTATTATTATATCTGTTCTGATGATCTGTGATCAAGATTTTTGATGTTGCTATTGTAACTGTTTCAGGGCACCACAGACCATGCCCATGTAAGACAGAGAGCTTGTTGTGTGTGTTCTGACTTCTCCGCTGACCAACCGGCTATTTCCCCATCTCTCTACCTTCCCTCGAGCCTCCCTATTCCCTGAGACAAAACAATATTGAAACTAGGCCAGTAAATAACTGTACGATGGCTGCTAAGTGTTGAAGTGAAAGAAAGAGTCACAGGTCTCTTGCTTTAAATCAAAAGCTAGAAAAGATTAAGCTTGATGAGGAAGGCCTGTCAAGAGCAGAGGCAAGCTGAAAGCTAGGCTGTTTCACCAAACAGCCACATTGTGAATGCAAAGGAAAAAAAAATTAGAAGGAAATTAAAAGTGCTACTCCAGTGAACACACAAATGATAAGAAAGTGAAACAGCCTTATACTGATATGGAGAAAGTTTGAGTGATCTGGATAAAAGATCAAAACAGTCACAACATTTCCTTAAGCCCAAGTCTAACCCAGAGCAAGGCCTCAACTCTTTTCAAAAGAGATCAAATCAGGTCAGGAAAAAGATTCCTTTAAAAATATTCCTGCTTATTGACTATGCACCTGGATACCCGAGAACTCTGATGGAGATGGACAACAAGTTGAATGTTTATGCCTACTAACACAGCATCCATTCTGCAGCCCATGGATCAAGGGGTAATTTTGACTTCCAACTCTTATTATGAAACACATTTTGTAAGTCTATAGTTGGTGACTTTTTTCTGATGAATCTGGACAAAGTCAACTGAAAACCTTCTGGAAAGGATTCCCCATTCTAGATGCCATTAAGAATGTTTGTGACTCATGGGAAAAGGTCAAAGTATGAACATTAAAAGGAGTTTGGAAGAAGTTGATTCCAACCCTCATGGATGACTTTGAGGGCTTCAAGCCTTCAGTGGAGGAAGGAACTGCAGATGTGGTGGAAACAGCAAGAGAACCAGAATTAGAGGTGGAGCCTGAAGATGTGACTGAATTGCTGCAATCTCATGATAAAACTTGAATGGATAAGCAGTTGCTTCTTATGGATGAGCAAAGAAAGTGGTTTCTTGAGATGGAATCTACTCCTGGTGAAGATGCTGTAAAGACTGTTGAAATGACAACAAACTGTTTAGATATTACATAAACTTAGTTGATAAAGCAGTGGCAGGGTTTAAGAGGACTGACTCCAATTTTGAAAGACATTCTACAGTGGGTAAAATGCTATCAAATAACATTGCATATTACAGAGAAATCGTTCATGAAAGGAAGATTTAATCGATGCAGCAGACTTTCCTGTCTTATTTTAAGAAATTGCCACAGCCACCCCAGCCTTCAGCAACCAGCTTCCTAATCAGCCAGCAACCACTAACATGGAAGCAAGACCCTCCACCAGCATCAAGATACAACTCACTGAAAGCTCAGATGATAGTTAGCTTTTTTTTTTAGCACTGAAGTATTTATAAGTTAAGGTATGCACATTGTTGTTTTAGACATGATGCTATTGCACACTTAATAGGCTACATACAGTAGAGTTTAAGTATATGCACTGGGAAACCAAAAAATTCATGACTTGCTCTGGGAGTGAGGAAGCAATGAGGATGAAACAGTTTCCACTTGAGTAATTAGGTTTATTTATTCATTTATTTATTTATTAGAGGGGGCACTGGGGATTGAACCCAGGACCTTGTGCATGCTAAGCACGTGCTCTACCACTTGAGCTATACCTCCCCTAACAGTTTCCACTTGAGCCACTTGCCTCTGAGGTGTCCAGGGAGGAAGAGGCACTAACGACATTCACTTTTCAGTTTGGGCGTTTAAAAATCTTTATAAACCCATCTTTTTTGCCCAAGAGGATGGAAGTCTGTGGACATCTCAAGAAAACATAGGAGAGACAACACCTGAGGACAGAACTCACTGGAGAGGATGCTCTGAAGCTTTAGGTGCCTCCCAGGCCCTTTGCTTTCTGAGCCTTGAAACTCCCAGCATTCTTTCTGCTTACAGTTGTGGTTCTTGCCAAATCCACCCGATGAACTCTCTGCCAGCTGGGCCATACAACCAGACCAGGGTGCTCAAACCAAAAGCTACATGTATAGGCTGAAGATAAAGGAGGCAACTTGCCTCTGAGGTGGCCAGGATGGCCTTGGACTGTGACAAACTGACCCCATGGGATCTTCTCTTGGAAAAAAAGCATAACCTATAGGAGAAGCTTCTTTATTAAGAAAAAAGAAAGCTTCTTCATTAGGAAGAGAAAGGAACATCATTTGAAACAGACAGAGAGAAGAGGTAGGAACAGAAGTAGGAGAATGAAAAACCAAGAGAGAAGAAAATTTCAAGGAAGAAATAGTTAACATTATCAACCTCTCAGTCACACTATGTCTCCTGAGTTGGAGGTGACGATACTCTGATGTCATTTGTGCAGAGCATTAGTCTCAAGGGTGGAAAGATCGTAACTGGTTCCTGGGGGCCAAAAAAATCTTGGTTTGTGAACCTCCAAAGAGCTGTAGCACAGAAACAAATATAAAGTATATCCCTGGTATTAAAATGTCATGGGGTGGGAGTGAGGGGCGATTAGGAAAAATTAGGAAAAATATGTCTATAAAAGCTCCTTGGGGGAATGATAATGGGAAGAAAGGCTGAGAAAACTGGTGGAGAGTGAGAATATAATTTCACATCCAAATGAGGACACTCTTGGGAATGAAAAACTGCTCTTTATAATTATGCTGGGACAGTAAGTATAAAGCAGGACTGTCCCAATCAATTATGTGATAAACTTGGATTTTCTATCATGCCTTATTGACACTTCTTTTATTACTCTTACCTTAATTTGCTCTGTATTACAATAATTAATGCTCTTTTCATATTTCCATCTGGGATGTAAACTCCTTGAAAACACCCCCAGTAGTAGCTAAGTCATTTTTGTAACCTTGCCTCAGCTCTTATCATTTCTTCTTGACCATCCGCTGGCCTCACGGTATTGAACATTTTGTTCTTCCCTGGACAACTCATGTGTTCTGGCCCTCTTTTAGCTAGCCTTGGCTCACAGGTGGGCCCCCCCAACACCACCTCTCTGCCTTCTCCCAGGATGTGCTCTCAGCTGCCAGCATCCCTGGCTCCACCCAGCAATCCCTGCCACCCTCCACTCCTGGTGAGGGGCTGGGCACAAGCATGGGGCGAGTGTGAGTCGCGGGGTGGGGTCTCAGGTGTATGTGAGGGTCTTCATTTACCCAGCTAGTATCCTTCTACCTAAGGGAGCGTGACATTAAGTAGCGAATAAACACCCACCACCACAGGTTGAAACGGAGACCACAAGAAAGGAAAAAGTCTCTTTCATTCCTTTTGAACCAGGAGCTTTGTATTTGTATTTTGTACCAGGTGTCACAAATTATGTAGCCAACCCTACATATATTCACATAAGTCTCACCAAAGTAGAATAAAGCTCCATGAGAACAGGGCCTTTTTTGTTTTCTGCTATTCCCCAGTGGCGAGAACAGGACCCAAGCATACTAGACTCAGCAAATATTTGCTAATGTAGGTCTATAAAGGCAGCTCACAGTATTGTAATTACCTGGTCTCGTTCTACAACCAGACTGTAAGTTCTCAGAAGTTACAGGCTTTATTTTTCATCCTAATAGCCTTTTTACCCCTAGCCCAAAGTGTGGTATACCATAGGTAGTCAGACATTTGTTCAGATTATAGCAGCAAAAAAGAGACAGCAAGCTGGGGTTGAGACTAGAATGTTGATTGTCCTTCCTGCCTCTTAACCTAGGCGATAACAAACTA